TACACGACTACACGTACACGTACGTACGAACGTACGACTACGTACTACCTACTACGTACTACTACCGTACTACTACTACTACGTACTACGTACTACCTACGACTACGTACCTACGTACTACTACTACACTACACACACACACACACACACACACACACACACACACACACACACACACACACACACACACACACACACACACACACACACACACACACACACACACACACGGTAGGAGGATCTGGTTTACATTTCAGCCTCTGTGCCAGGTTTTTCTTAGGAATTACAACACTGTTTTGGAAGTTATCCGACACAACCTGTTTACAAGGCCATAGACCCTGTTATCTAGTCAGTGTGACTTTGTTTTTCCAGATTGCCCTTTAGAACAGACGTATCACTTTATTAGTTACAAAAAGGCACATTCAGTAGTAGTTATGATTTCGTCTTTTTGTTTATTTTTGGGCTAAACATCGTAACAACGTAATATGGATATTTTGCCACTGGAGGTCTTTGTTCCTAACTATTACAAAAGACTGCTTTTTTTCGTGCCATTAGTTATTATGGGATTGTAAGGGTTTGTCATTGCTGTCAGCAAAACAACGTTTTACATGAAGCCCAACTATCCTCCTATCTAAAATAAACTGTACTACATGATTAAATCAACTTAAAACACTGAATTCAATTAAATAGGTAATCTATGTTTTTTCTGATGCGGCTTACGTTTGTTCAGCCTGTTTATGTGATACCTCAAGATCCACATTTGTTATGACAAAAGTCCTTCGTCAAGTTAAAATTGAATTAAACCAAATGAATGACAGCTTCTGGCAGACAACCACAGGGCTGACACATGCGCCAAAGGGTATAATATAACCATCACCTTTATTAACCCTGCGGGGAAATTCAGTTAATCTCTCTGGTGTTATTTTGTAATTACACACAGGCCTGAAATACACACAGGCCTGAAATACACACACACACACACACACACACACACACACACACACACACACACACACACACACACACACACACACACACACACACACACACACACACACACACACACACACACACACACACACACACACAATCTTATGTTTTATGGAGAGGTGGCAGAGTAACACCTTGACAGCGGCCAGGTGGGGAACTGTCACGTTTCGAGCTACCAGTCAACATTCTGTAATTTTGGTCCGCTCTGGACTTTCAGTTCCCAATCCAGGTCCCTAAATACTTAGCTACTGCCGTCCATTAAAGGAAAGGACTTTTGCCTTCACTAAAATCATGGATTTCTCTTTGTTGCAGTTGTTGGAATTTAAACTAAATTCAATTAGTGTGAAATAGTGTCAGTGTAAGCCTACTACAGTACATGTCAAAATCTAGTTTTTTTCATTATACACATTTATTGTTTTTATAATAATGCATGCAATTTACAAACTCTATATAAGTTACAGTAAGACGATCACAAAAATAGCATGCCAAAAACATATACCACAAAACACTAATCACGTATTAAAAGCAGTGGTGAAAAGGTTAATTTTTCTCCTGGTCATTACCTTAACTACCCCCTTTTTCCCCCATGGAAACACTCCCTCTACATGCAGAACACTAAAGTTAATTTTTAATATTTTTCAGTGTGACGTACTATATATTCTGATATATATATACTGTGCCTGTACGTTCTAGTACGGTGTTTTTTTTTTTCTTCTCTTTCTACGTTGGATGTCCATCGCACCTTGTGGCTCATGGCTGGGATTCTCACATGCCTGTGGAAGTATAGGAATTACATTGTGATAGTCCTTACGCCTCTTTTACTTCTTCCTCTGCCTCTGGTCAGCCCAACCTCGGTAAGAAAATGAACATGTTTATTTGTATTTTTATATTGTAGGACATATCTAAAGACATATTTAAGAATGAGGACCTGACCATTAGGGGTGGCTTGTTTACTTGCATTACTCCAAAGTTCTAATATACCCATTTGTTTGTAGAGCACAAACTTCTTCTAAAACCCCTTTAACCACCCTCACTTAGGAATTATTCAGTTGGAAACTTTACATTAATTGCAACTATACTGATATTGTAATTGCTGTGATTCAGTATATTGGAGGAATGCAATCAACATTTTTTTTTGTTAAAGTCTAGAATAGCCTACATCTTGTTGGACCTGACATCTCTGCAGCAACAAAATACTTAATACAGAATGTTATTTTGACTTTAACGAATATTGCGGCTCCTGCAATTGCATACTGTATTAGATTCACCTTAGACCTATTGCCTATAAAAAATAATCCTGATTTGACGGTCTGTCCTTTATTCAACAAAACACAGGCACAGGTCAAACATCAAAGAACAGATCTGATGACAGGACTAATCATGTATATTATCAGGTGTCCTGATAGTAAAAACACTTTTGAACTACCACTATCTTGGCTTTGGCACTCAAGCCCAGGAACAGCTAAAGCCTTTCTTCCTGTAACAGGTCCGAGTGTTGAAGCGGTTTCATCGTTATGCTAAACCAGTGTTACGACCCCCTCCACTCCACTAGGGGTCTCTGCCTCTGGACATTTGTTTCTTTACATGTCTTACTTCAATAAGAGGACTCCATCAAAGACCCTCTGCACTATGTGATCATTTACTATGATGAATGAAAAAGTGGGGAAATAATCAAGATTTATGTTCCCTTTTCTTCTTTGTGTTCAGCTGTTGTAAAAAGCAACCCAATAAAACACAGGGAACTGTCATTAAATGTAAGAGTTTATGTTTTTTCCTTATTGTTTGACCTTTGTCATCTTAATCAAGCAGCAGTTGTTTTAATATATAAGTTCCAGACATATTCAAGGTAAAAGCAGGAAGTTATTATATGACTAAGAAATTGATCATGTCATTTCTATTTGAGTGGCTGCAAATGTTTTAACTGCAACATTTCAACAGCAAGCAAACCAAACAAAAGTCTTTTCTAGAGGATTAACTCAAGATAGTTACAAAAGTTATTGGGTAATGGTTAACTATGCTAACTGAACCATATTATGTAAGCCAAGGTTGAGCAGTTTATGGTGGGTTTGTACTTGCTAACAGGCATATTAAGGTTATCTCACTTGTACACATGTGTCAAGTGCATCACACCATTTATGTAGA